GGTGCTGCTGTCCGCACATGCAAACAGAGCACAAGACTTGGTTTTCAAAACTACGTCCAGGTTCATAAAAAGGAAACAAGCGTTCTGACCATGCTGGAAACAGCAGGCTGAGTACTAGCTTTGATGTTCTTCCTCACTGTCCTCAGTCCTGGCTAGAATGAGTAAGACACAGAGCTCGAGATTTTCTTGTCTAGGGTTTTTTGTTGGGGAAAAATAGCTTGAATTTAAGCTCCAGGTTAGACTTTATCAGGTAAAGTAATGAAGTGCCTAATATGGAGTATGATATACTCTAAGTGCTCAGGAAGTGCCTGTTCATTCATTAATATGCTTTCCAAATCAATTTAAGTTCCAAAAGAAAGTTGTTTAAGAGGAAGAGAGGCGCACACTGTCATAAAGAGTCCTTGTCAGAGTTCATGATGAGGTAAGGTCTTGGGTTTAGAAATGAAATGGAAAAATGTAGCTGAGAGAGATTAAATTTGAGACTATCTGGCTGACTAGACTGATTGCTAACTAGGTCAGTTACCTAAGAAATAATACAATTACTTCTTGGCTGACATAATTTGGTCACTGAACAACCAGAGTCGCTCCACTGTGAGTTAAGTGGACAGAGAGTCCCAGCGCGTCTGATTTCCTGAGAAGCCACCACCTTTTTCTTGTAAATGTCTTAAATTTTCCATATTGGCTCCGGAGGAAAAAAACCAGAAAGTTTTGAACTGTGTACACTGACAAAAGTGTAAAATAAATTCCTCATATACTACACCTCATTTTTAAAATGATGTATGAGCATGTATTCTAAGAGAAAATTAACTTATCAGTAAAATATCTAAATTAAGGAAATATGTGACTAGATTCTTGTAACAGCAAGAAATAGCAGAATGTAGGTGCCAAGTGAGACCACTGAGTGACCCACAGGTCATGACCCACATGCCCCTCTGCTGTCCTGGAGGGTCGCCACTGTACTCTACTGATGGCCTCTTGTCGGTTGTAGAAAACAAAAGCCCTAGCTGAGACTGCACACGCATGTAGGAAGGTCATGAGGACGCGTTTGTTCCACATGCGAATCTATCATTATTTACTCAAAATAGAGAAGAGTACCGAAATGTTAAAAATTAAAGCAGTATGCAGGAATGAGTGTTTTCTGTTATGTGATACTTCAAGGACTGTGCATACCACTCCTCACAGCATGCTGGGCAGAGTAAGGGACGGCTGAGGTAACTGTCCTCTTTAACCTACAATAGGAACCTCAATTCCCTAAAGGCACAGAAGTAGGTGCAGAATTGGAGGTCACCATCTACGCGGGTGTGTAGCGTATACAGGTGAGACTCATCCTTGATCCCTCTCTCACGACACTGTGTTAACTCAGCCTTCAGGTCCTACTGCTATTATCTTTAAACATATCCCTAATCTCACTGCGACTGACTTGTATCTCCTAAATGTACGTCAACCTCAGGCATTCAGGATCTTTCAGATTCTTCCACTTCTAATCCATGCTCACAGGCTACTGAAGTAACCTTCAAGCCCCATATTGGCTCCTATCATGCCTTGGCCCAAATATTCAAGTGGCATCTTCAGGATAAAGTCCAAATTCCCAAGCATGGTGCACAAGATACTTTACAATCTGGTCCCTCCAACCGAATTTCTTACCCTTCCCCAAATGTGTTAAGCTCCCTTATCTTCCTTCCTTCAAAAACCAGAAGCCAGGCAACATTTCAGGTGCTTGGCACATGTGAATGAACAAAACAAAGAGCCTTGCCTTTGCAGACTTCATGTTCTTACGGGAGAAGATGACAGGTAGGTAGGTAGATGACTGACGGATGGATGGATAGGCAATAACTTGACAGATGACGGTTAGATGATAGACATATGGATGATAAATGATAGATATTAGATGAGCAGATGGATGGATAGTATAGGTAGACAGATAAATAGATAACTGAGAGGTAGGTAGATGGTTGATGGATGGACAGATAGACGATAGGTTTATAGGTGATGGGTAGATGACAGACCAATGGATGACAGATGTTAGATGAACATATGGATGAACAGTATGGGTAGGTGGATGATTGACGGGTAGGTGGATGATTGACAGGTAGGTAGGCGGGCAGAGAGATGGAAGGATGGAAAGATACATATATAGGTAGGTGGATGATTGACAGGTAGGTAGGCGGGCAGAGAGATGGAAGGATGGAAAGATACATGGACAGACTGACAGAATATCAGGTGAGGGCAACTGCAGTGGAGACAGTGAATTGGGACAAGAAAGGGATGGATTATGCTTGAGGTGGTAAAATATTTCACATCTTAATCAGTGGTCAGAGAATGCCTCACAGAATAGTGACACTTGGGCAAAGAAAGACCTGGTGAAGGTGAAGAACAGCCCCTGTGGGCTCGAGGAGCCCCAGAAAGCTGGTGTGGTGTCAAGAAGGGCGAGTAGACAAGTGGTCAGAGAATGCCTCACAGAATAGTGACACTTGGGCAAAGAAAGACCTGGTGAAGGTGAAGAATAGCCCCTGTGGGCTCGAGGAGCCCCAGAAAGCTGGTGTGGTGTCAAGAAGGGCGAGTAGACAACTTTGTGGAGGCAGAGAGATGCCAGCTGCATCCACTGTGGTCATTATGAGGACTGACTCTTGCTCTGAGTGAGATGGGAGCTTTTGGAACATGCTAGGGAGGAGTGTTGTGATCTCACACGTGGTTTACAAGATTGGCCACTGCGGCTCGGGCTGCAGCTCACCTAGCTCCTGCCTCAGCCCTTCTCAAGGGTGGCTGTCCTCATTTTGCCTGCTGCTTTCTAGCTCCTGACATGATCTGTTACAGAGCAGGCCCCTGAAGCATGTTTCCACAACCCCCCTGGGACCACCTGGCTCAAATGGAGTCGAGGCCCCATGCAGGCCTGGGGATGTGGGCAGAGACAGCACCCACAGTTGAGGCTGGGCAGAGAGCCAGCCACTCAGCCCCATCAAAGGGCCTGTTCCCATGACTGGGCAGAGCCGGCCAGAAGAGACCAGGAGGAACAGAGGACACGGGACAGAGAAGCTTGCAACCCCACCTCATCTGAAGAAGGGGATGTCCAGCTGTTGCCTCCAAGCCCGGGGTTCTCCCTGAAGAGACCAACGTGAGCTGCAGCATTTGTTTCACCTGAGAACCATCTGGACCTGACCAGAGCTTGAGGAACCTCAATTTCTTTCTGGGGACAGGCCCTCAGAGGCTCCTCCAGTTCCCACCATCCCTCTATCCACAGTGGCTTCTTCCCCATGTCCTCCTGCCTTTAGAGAAGTAGGAAGATGTGTGCAGGTGAACGAAGGCCTGCCTGAACCAGGAGACCACCACTTCCTGCTGGGCTAGCCTCTCGCAGACTTTCATTTGTAAAGAAAAATGTGAGACCACCACCACCACCTGTGGTGACTGTCTCCTGGAATAACCAGGGGACTGGAGAGACAGCACACGCCAAAGGCCATGTGAACACATCAACCCCACCTCCTCCTCAGCATTGCGAGGAGAGATATACAACGTAGAAAACAGAATGTTGTGATAAAATCTCCGTCTAAATGTAAAAACATACTTATACAGAAAGTTAGGTTAGAAACTGACACAAGATAGGATCTCCCATGTGGTGAGAAGTCAGACTACAGGCCAGACAAAGCCAGGTCTGTGTCCTGTTTTGATGAGCTGCTCCCTGCATGAGCATTAGCAACTCTGTAACCTCCCTGAATTCCAATTTTCTCATCTATAAAATGGAAATTGTGAGACTGAAGCAGCCAGTGGCAGTAAACACGAGTCTGTGTGTGTGTGTCCATAAATAAAACATTGGTGTATCAGCGTCGGGGCAGGTGGATTTAGGAGCTTGCTGTTCCCCTCCGATGATTCAAAAGGGGACTCTGAGACACCTACATGAGGAAGGGACTCTCGGTATGTGCTGGGTGTTGAAACAGCTCTGAAATGAGAGGTCGGATCTGGGATCAAAATCCCTCCTCTATCCCTTCCCCACACATTCTCCCAGGCATCAGAGGCCTGCGGGAGCTGCCGAGGCAGAGCGGGACAAGTTCTGACGGTCCTCAAAACCATCCTCGTATGCACAGGTGATGCCTCCTGATGCCACAGTCTCTGTGTCTCCTTCTTCCCTTCTAGAAAGCAGAACAGAGCAGGAAGCCAGGCCGGTAGCTGCGCAGAAGGATGTGGGGGGTGGATAACACGGAGCCTCGATCAGCGGACAGACACATCAGACACGATTCACCCACCACTGCTGTGAACAGGTGAGTGGCTTCATCTCTTAGCCTCAGTCTCCTCTTTTGCCACATGAAGCAATAACTACTTCACCTGCTTATTACAAAACTGAAATGAGAGAATGCATGTGAAGGGGGCTTTGGGGAAAACAAAGTGTGATTCAGGTCAACAACAGCAACACCACCCAGTAACAACTAAACAAAGCTTATGGGCAATTTCCATTCAAAACTGTAGCTGGGGAAGCAGGAAAAAGCAGTTTTAACCTAGATGTTGGAAAAAATTTCTCAAAAAGTATGAAAATGTTAATTGCATTTTAAATTTTCTGTTGCTAAATTAATGAAAGAAATTTAAGCCAGCTGAGCCCACGTGACGGCTGCAATAACCCTGAATTACCAAGAAGCATTCTTACGGCTGGCATTGAAAAACACACAGAAAAAATAAATGTGGAGCAAAAGAAAGGTTAAAGATTTTATTTCTTTTTCGAAAACTTAAACAGAAATCACTGTTAAAAAAGAAAAAAATTATATTAGCAAACAGGACTATAAAAAAAGTAAAACCAAGTTGTTTAATATTGACACCTAAAAAAAATGAGTAAAATCTGACTCTGAGAGATTGCTGCTTTTAGAATAACTATGAAATTCCACACAGTGGACAACTCGGGCTTTGGAACGTGCAAAGAGCTCCTACTCACTGAATGTCAGTGTCTCCCCTAGGGTAAATATGTGCCTAAGGTAGGACATCTTCACCTGTGCAAAGTCCAGATTCACCGTGCACCTTACCTGACCGATAGCGCTCATCGCGGGACCCTGAGGACCGCCGGCGGTGGTAGCGAGAGGAGGAGGAGGGAGTGACGGGAGCCCGGCGCTCCTGAGGCAGTGCTTGATCCACCCCTGGATTTAAGGGAAAACAGCAGAGTGAGGTGAGGCTTGACTGGACAGCCAGGTTAGAAACGCGTGGAGCCCTGACTCTCTGCACTCCCACAGCAAAGCTGGAGCCACCTATGTCACAGCCCTGGCACAGGAAGGTGGGAAGCAGTCTAGGCTGGGCTGAGTGTGGGAGGCTGATCCTGCCTGATGCTGCGGCCTTCAGGAATTCCACATGCTCCCTCATGTCACTAATGACCACTATGTCTTGGAGCAAGTCATGACCAGGCCACAAGCAGTCATCGAATTCCTTAGCATCAGGGTAAGAACAGTGGAGCCCCAGTCACAGAGTCAAACCACGATCCTTTTCATGTCATAAATATACAGAAGGGGCCATATAAAATTGAGAAAATTTAAAATTACACTCATCACTAAGTTAAAGTTGACTTTAAAACAACTCTTACAGGGTGTTTTAACAACATAACGCAGGTAACAGTATGAAGCATAAACTCCCAGCTTAATTCACTCCGAATTTCTAACTCTCTGAACCCTTACTCCATTCAAAGCTAAGTATTTTAACAAGTTGTATTTCAGTATGGCTTTGATGAAACACCAAAAATGTTAACATGGTCAGACAAAAATGATTCAGTGGGTATCAGTCGAAAGGCTGACCCAAATCTGCCAGTCACAGTGCCTGTCATACTCAGAATCAGAGAGGCGAGGACACCACCCAGGTGGAAGTAAGTGCTGTGGGAAAGACGTAACCGAGATGGTTCAGAAACAAAGACATCCTGTGACTCTCAGCATTAACCATTAACTGTTGCTCCTTCAGAAAAGGACTAGTGATACGTGATTGAAAGTAAACCAGACATAAAAATTTGAAGTTAACAAAAAAATGTTTAGTGCCTAGTTTTCATTGATGAGCTCCCATGAGAGTTAACGATCTCTTGTGTGGATTCACCATTCCTCCTATTCTGGTGATTTCTGCACCTTGGTTTTTGATGGAATGTTTGTGGGTCCCTATACTAGGACAACTGTATCGGAATTATGAGAACGGCAGCTTAGGTTCTCTAAGCTCTTCATTCAGCAAAAACACTAAAATCACTAATTAAAAGTTCTTGATGACCAAACGGTTTGCAGCTACCAACCTCTTCCAGTTACAGTCTACGAGTTATCCTTTTTACCAGACACACAGTTTATGAAATCTCAGAGCACTCTGTCTCATACAGAAACAGCAGGTGGCCAGCGTGCACATCCGTGTTTATGAAATGGACTCACAACCCTGCTCTTCAGTTGTGCCCATAGCCCACACACGGCTCCTCCCTCACCACACCCTGGTCCTCCCCAGCTCCACTGTCAGGTTGCGTGCAGACTGTTTTCTGCAGGCTCAGCAGTAGGCTACGAATACCTTCCCATCCTGCAGGGCTTGATGATCCTGAAGTTAATACCTGCATTTTCTTCATTACCTTGGCTGTCAATGTACTATTGCTAATCCTCTCAAAATACCCCAACAGAAATGAAAAACTTTCTCTCCCCCATGGTCAAATACTAACAACCTGGTGATAATTTCTAGTTCAATCTTCCTTTTCCTCAAAGTTCTCTTGGAGACCCCCCACCCCCTGCTCTAACATCAGCCCCCAGACCTGCTGCATGACTGTCACGTGGGGTTCCTGTCATCCCTAGTCGCATCTGCTTCCTCATGTGGGTCGTTTGTTTCTACATCCTGCAATGTGCTCCTTCTGACTTCACCCTCCTGTTTAAAGGAGTACCTCGAGTAGCTTCTTCAGAAAGGACGAACAAGAAACAAGTTTTCCTTTCTCCCCTAATGTGACTGGGCCTTTTGCCTGGATGGGAATTCTCAGTGCAAACTACTTCCATTCACTGCTTTTACTTCCACTGCTGTTGAGAAGCGGCGTGCCATGCTGATGCTTCAATCTGTATGTAATATCTGTCTTTTCTCCTGTGTCAACTTTTGCCGTCTCTTCTTTATTCCCAGAAGCTGTGAGCCGGTTTTCTCTTCTTGTGGCGGGGCACCACCAGATCCAAGAAGAGACCCCCAGCCTCCTGCCTGTGACTGAGTGTGGCGAGCTCATCACTCTGGGGCTGGGCTACTTTCACCCTTCAGCATGTGTGCTCTGGTTTAGCATCTCCTGGTTTTAGCACAATCTGGTACCCCCAAATCTGGAACCTCACTGGTTTCACTTCCCGAGAGAATAAGCATGCGTGGGAGCACTGGGAGGGGCACCCCGTGCCCGGGCGCTGTTCCTGCTTCTGGCTCTGTGCTGGCTGGTGCCCTGGTTTTCATGGCTTCTTCAGCTATCGACTTCCTCTGCACTGTTCAACGAGGTACCACTAATTCTTCTACTTTACATGTTACAAACACCTGCCACTGGCCTCTCATCTCGGGTCCTTTATATGTGCACTGACTTCTTTGGTGCAGTTTGGGAGGAGGAGGGATGAATACACATTCAAGCGGCCAAAGTTAACCAGTGGCCTGATTTTTTTTTTTTTAATATTCAGCTTTCTATCTCAGTACTTTTCCCGACCTAATCCATTCAAACATGCTTCCTGGGATTACGCTGTACCTTGACCTCTTCTTGGCACCCACGGGCAATGCTATGCAGAGTCATAGGCCACTGCTCAACAGGTCACTAGTGACACAACATCTTGAGAAGCTAGAGTGCTGGTTCTGTACTAGCGCATGTCCCATTCATTCACTTCTGTCGACTCATTCCAGCTGAGACTGGTGGTGGCATAAAGACACGTTCTGGCAAAGAAAAAACCATTTGTTGAATATGCACCCCCAATTAGGATTCAGCCTGTCCCACAAAAGGACCAGGGTAACTGAGAGGGTGTCTCACTGTCCATTGCAAGGGGCAGCCCAAATGCTGCTGCAGGAACAGGTGCTGTCTTGCTAAAACACACCGTTTATGCTTTAGCATCTGTCACTGTTGAGGGCACTCATTTGTAACTACGTTTAGGTTGGAGAACCATGAAAGAAAACCACTTCTCAGGGAACTGCAGAAAGACAAGAAGCCTCACGGCAGACAGGCTGAGGACGCATGAGGCGACGTGGTCACTGGGAAGGAAGGCATCCCAGGGAGGTGGTGACTATCCCCAAACACGTTGTCATGTGAGTTACTTCTTCCACACGTTTATCAAGCATTAACGTGCTGGCTGCAGCCAGGCACCCAGTCATCCCAGATCCCACATGAATGGATGGGAGAACAGTGCAGTGGAGACCTTGCTCCAGCTCCAGTTACTGCCTATGACCTTGGCAAGTTCCTTTACCTGCAGGGCTCAGTTTCCCATCTTCAGACAGAAACATCAGCAATAGCTAATGCTTCACAGCACTGGTCCAAGCAACTACGTTTACTGACTCCTTTAATCTGTCAACATGAAAAACCACAATGTGGGTGCTGTTGCTGCTGTCGTTTTACCAGTAAAGTATGAGCCAGGCAGCTTGTGCATGGGACTTAGGAGCCACTTGTGATCATCTTTCCACCTGCGACAGGGCCCCATCGTGGAGCCCTCAAGTGCCCTATCCTCAAGCACGTGCACACTGTCGGCCCCTGAGACAGACCTGGGGGACTTCTCCTCTGGACTCATCCCCTGAAGTCAAGAAACTATGGAAACTGCTACAATTTCAGGTAGTTGTCCAGAAATGAAACGGAGCAGCTCAGAGCTGTCGAGGTCATCTGACACCGAGGTATGTTTCCTTGGATCCTGGCCAGAGACAGACAAGCTACGAGCCTCGAGGTCGAGGCCTCCATCTGGTTCCTGCCGGGGCCCAGCACAGCTCCTGGCCTGCAGGATGGGCTCGGGAAATGGTTCTGAACCAGTGACTTTTCAAGGCTCACACAGAGGCTGGAACACTTCAAGGACAATGACATCAGTGAGATTTTAATCTTTCCTCTAGAACTATAATGAAGCCGTAAATAAAACAGAGGCGGGAGCTCCAAGGTACACAAAGGAAAGGGTCAGCCCAGGCAAGCAGGGCACACGGCCCCCCATGGGCTCAGCCTGTGACCACCAAACCTCTGCACGTGGCTTGCAAATGCACTGCGATGTGAAGCAACCAAGTTGCCTGTGGCCTGTCTCTTTCCCACCCTGCAGTTCACTGTCAGTTTTAATGAAATCTGTGGCTCTGCTCTGCTCAGTGCTGTGTGCCATCTGACACTGTATCGGCGGCTTCTAACTCCTCTCAGTGCCCAGGGCCATCTCCCACCTCTGTCCATGCAGGTCCTTGACAGTGTCTTTCCGCTGCATCCTGCTGATCAAGAACAAAGCCCCAAGCTCCTTCACCTGGACTCTGGTCCCTCCAAGCTTATCCTTTCCAGCTGTGCCCTCCTTGGGTGCCTCCAGGTCCAAGTGGAATGGAGACAGTCACTCCTTCTAAGTTCCTGCCCCATCCACACCATGCACCCTCGCGTCATCAAATGCCCTCTCTCATTCCCCTACATGTGAAAACCAGCTCAAGATCAAAGGGAGAGAGCACACAAACAAGGCATCTCTGTTGAGCTTCAATCAAACATGTCCAGCACATGATTAAGAAAGGATCCT